AAAGTGCTCCCATACGAAGCGACGGATCCCAGGATTTTCTGGAATTGTTTCACAGGTTCCATTGGGTAACAGATACCTGGTTCCAGGTCCTCGAACGGGTACGTCGTCGATGTATGGAATAGTAACATGAGGGATTTCGTCTTTCAAAATGAAAGTAACGTCCTCATGGAATATGGGTACTGAGTTGGTCCATCCTTGTGGGAGTTTTCAGAATGGAGTCGCGGACAGTCCCCGAAACTGCTAGGAGTTCACCCACAGTGACGTCGACTGACGCGTTTTTCATTTTGTCGTAGACTGCTTCTGCCACAGCCTTCTTTTGAATCGGTGCACGCAACTGGTATTTATCTGGAACGCGCGCTTTTGAAGAATGTACTGGTTCTTGTAGAACGGGCTTGACTTTCTCAAACGGTAGTTCCTTTCTCTTTTCGACGTTGTCGCGCACTGATTCCTCATCATCGTCGCTATCACTAACTTCTTCAATAATCACAGGTTTTCTCGGTTTCTCTCGTCGCTCAGCTCGTTTATCATGGTCCTCAGAGGGCTTGGCTGAGTTTGTGGGTTTAGCCCCCTTCCTTGAACCATTTAGAAACCCGAGTTGTTATCGTCGCGCTCAGGTTGGCTATTCGCACCACGACGGGTTTGAATGAACTGCTCCTGAGTCTGAGGATAACCACTGTTCATGTTGTTGAAGTAGCCGGCCATGGCGTCGGTCATGGCTTTCTGCATGAATTGGCCCATGGCACTTTCCATTGCATTGCTGGTTGAACCAGATGCAGTTCTGTCAGTCTTTGGCTCAGCGCGACTCTCTGGGGTTGGTCGCGACGACTTCCTCTCGTATTGGATGAGTTGACTTCGAAGGGAGCGTATTTCATCTGCCACTTCTTCAGGGTAGTCGGACATATCATCATTGTCGCGGCTATCGAACTGATCCAAGTAGTAGGAGTCCTGGAAGTTGACGGATTTGCCCTTCTTCTTCCAATAAGCCTCTACTCGTTGTCCCTGAGTCCCTTCTCCATTTGGTAGGAAACTGTTGTCGAAGAGCCTCCACATCCCTTTGGTGTCGACTTTGAGAAGGTCTTTCTCAATGTGAGACCTCTTGAGCGGGCACTCGTTCGACCAGTGACCAGTTTGTCCACAGTAGCGACAGTCGTCGTTCCGTGCGGCAGCTCCTCCTTGTACGCGACTTTCAAAGTGGGGCACAGAAGAGTTGTTGCCTACTGGCCGCGACCGCTGTATAGGCGCTTCGCGAGCAGTCTGTACGAACGTCTTCAGCGCTTCCTGCAACTGAGTCTGTAGCTCTTTTTGGTGTAGAAGAAATGAGTCCTTCAAGTTAGAAATCGAGTTTTCCAACTCCTCAACCTTAGCATGGTTGGGTGGACTAGTCTCATAGTCGAAGCGAACCTTTGGAGGTCGCGCGATTATGGGAATTTCGTCTTCGTTACTCAACGTCGACGCCATTTCTTCCGCCATTGTCATTAGCTCTTTCAGCTGGATGGGGTCGTCCTGCCGGTTGACTCCAGTCGCGGGGACATTAGCATTTGTTATCCCGGCGCGAGTTTGGTAGCGCTTATTGAATACTTGACTCGTAGCCAAAGCGTTCCTCAAGACGGTACTGAACTCAGAGTCCAAAGTACGCATGTAGCGTTCACACGCGACTTTGTTGGTAATAATGGCAGGAGGGACTGACAGTCGCTTGTAGTGACTGTACATCTGAAGGCCGAAGCGCTTCAAATCTCCCTCATCCGTGATTTTGATTCCACGGTTCTCGCGACAGAGTCTATCTAGATCTGCCATGGTCCCCGTTTTTCGCTTGGATACCTCAGGGTATCCTTTTAATATTTCGGCCTCGAACTCCGCGACAGTTTTCGTGTCGTCGGAATAGGTATCGAGACCTTCCCATACGTCCATCACTTGCCGCGACGGCAAATAACGGATGTACATGCTTTTTGCTTGTTTGACATCTGTGATGCCACCATCCTCCACGATCTGCGCGCAGTGACGCAAATATGCCTCAATCGACAGGGGGTCCTTGTCATCAAGTATAGGTCTACTTGTGTCCCAAGGTTGAGGGATTTTGAACCCAGTCTTTGGAGCCATAGTTGTCGTGACTGAAGTCACAGGGGAAGTAGGGATGTTGTTAGAATTCGCGTTCGTAGCGGTGACGCTACTAGACAATTCTGAGAGAGTTTGTGAGCTAGTCTGAGATCGATTGATTGTCGTCGAACTCGAAGTAGCCGCGTCTAAAGCTGGAAGCTTCGACGACGAATTCACTCTTTGTTTTCCTTTTGCCTTAGAAGGCAAGGGTGGTAGATACGAAGGTGTTTTATGTCTTGCAGACCTTCGTGGTTTTTCGAAAGGTCCTGAAGTTGAAGCGTTTCCTTCAGTCTCAATCTCCGCTTGGTCCTCAAGAGGTCGCGCAGGAGCTTGGGATCGAAATAAACTGCTTCGCGGGATAAACCCTTGGTCTCTATCCGACGTCGCGGTAAAGAATCCGGTTTATTGATTTTTAAAGTTTATGAAACTTTAGAAGCCCCTCGCGGTGGGCTCCAGATGAAATGCTGAGGGCGTGCTCACAAGTGAATCTACTATGAAAGTAAACCCAAATATAAAACACGTTCACACTCCTCGTAATCAGCTTCTCAGTGTGTGAAAGATGCGAGGGCTTCGGGGTGGACAGAACACCAGTATCACAGCTCTCAATAGACGCAGATCCAATAGTCGCGGAAGACAAAGTCGACGACAAGGATATATATATATATAGCAAACAGTGGTGTCTCAACCAATATCTTCTATACAAACACAACCAACACTAATCCAATCCACAACCAACAATATAACAAGTCAGAACTTAATGCGAAGTATTAAGATCCCTTGTAGCGACAGCGTCCAGATGGTGACGCAAAGCCCAAATATCAAGTCGACGCACTGCCAACTGATACAACCAATATACTGAGTCGACGCACTGCCAACTAGTAGAACCAGAATGTCAAGTCGACGCACTGCCAACTGACACAACCAAAAGTACTGAGTCGACGCACTGCCAACTAGTAAACCAAAATGCCGCGTCGACGCACTGCCAACTAACAGCCAATATCCAATGTCCAAAACCCGAGCACAACTTGTCGACGCACTGCCAAGCAAGAAGTGTGGAACCAAAGTTCTCAAGTCGACGCACTGCCAACTGACCAAAACAACCCGAGCACAACTAGTCGACGCACTGCCAAGCTAGAGGTGTGGAACGATCTCAACAAAGCCCTAAGGCGACGACACTAAATGCCGCGACAATACCAGATGCGGCGAATCCGACTTTCTGATGTCTCAACTCAAACTCAAATCACAGTAGCTACAAGTGCTCAGGGAGCAACTCGTCGCGACCGGGCAGGGGTAGCAGAACTTCTTAGGGTGGAATCACGCGGCACGCAAATTGTACAAAACAATCTGATATGAGAGTGATTCACAGTCCGGGGGAAAGCTTTTTAATACAAAGAAACGTCGTGCTACTTATACTGTCTACGACGATGCTTAGTAAAGTCCTGTACAACTGCATAGTAGCTACGCTATCTAAGATCGGTTGCCTTTTAGGGTAATTGAAAGTTGAACGATCGGACAGGTTCTGAGTGATCAGGACCCCGCCCCATTGTCCATATGATACTTTTGATGTGGGCCAACTCACCGCGTCATACTTTTGGAATACGACGTGCTGGATTGGCCAACGGGTATGTCTTGGCATGTGAGACCAACGTGGGCGCCCCAAGAAGCCATATGGCCCTAGGCACGCCAGTCGTCCCCCACATGGTTCAGTTCACGGATCTAGCCGTGTCGGTTTCTAGTGTGTTTGGGTATGGGCGCGACTCGCCGTGACACTTGGAAGTGTCACCGCGACGCGTCCACAGTGTCCCGTGATCGAATGGATCCTGACATGTGACAAGTCGTCGTCGTGGCATGATCTGCGGAAACGTCCAACCCAAAACCGGGAGTTGCCGCGACAAGATGGTTTAAGTCTCGTAACGCCAAGTCCTGTCCAGTAGTAGTTCTATTATTGAGGACGTCGTGCCTTGCTCAGCCCTTCAGCCCAAGTTCCTATCTGCAGAAAATGACCCTTTTTGAGAAGTCGACGCAACGACAGATCCCTTTTTGGGGAATGGTCGCGGTCCAAGCGTTCGTCACTAATGGCCCTGAGCCTGGTGTAGACTCATAAGACCAGTTCCACAGTAGTGGTCTGACTGCCTTGCTATCGTCGACACTATCCACAGTCGTCGACTGGGCAGTAGACCCTTAAGTCCTACTGAGCGCAACACTGTCAACCGCGACACGATGCACCGAATGGTTCAAGAGTAAACTCTGTAAAAGCGCAAAAATACGCTCTTACAGAGCTGGTGCAGAGCGCGTCTGGTAGCCAGCCTATCACCGCGTGATTCCACCCTAAGAAGTTCTGCTACCCCTGCCCGGTCGCGACGAGTTGCTCCCTGAGCACTTGTAGCTACTGTGATTTGAGTTTGAGTTCAGATATCAGAAAGTCGGATTCGCTGCATCTGGTTTTAGTCGCGGCATTTAGTGTCGTCGCCCTTTTGGGCTTTTGTTGAGATCGTTCCACACCTCTAGCTTGGCAGTGCGTCGACTAGTTGTGCTCGGGTTGTTTTGGCCAGTTGGCAGTGCGTCGACTTGAGAACTTTGGTTCCACACTTCTTGCTTGGCAGTGCGTTGACAAGTTGTGCTCGGGTTTTGGACATTGGATATTGGCTGTTAGTTGGCAGTGCGTCGACGCGGCATTTTGGTTTACTAGTTGGCAGTGCGTCGACTCAGTCCTTTTGGATGTGTCAGTTGGCAGTGCGTCGACTTGACATTTTGGTTCTACTAGTTGGCAGTGCGTCGACTCAGTATACTTGGGCTTTGCGTCACCATCTGGATGCTGTCGCTACAAGGGATCTTAATACTCTGTATTAAGCTCTGACTTGTTATATTGTTGGCTGTGATTGGATTAGTGTTGGTTGTGTTTGTATAGAAGATATTGGTTGAGACACCACTGTTTGCTATATATATATATATCCTTGTCGTCGACTTTGTCTTCCGCGACTATTGGATCTGCGTCTATTGAGAGCTGTGATACTGGTGTTCTGTCCACCCCGAAGCCCTCGCATCTTTCACACACTGAGAAGCTGATTACGAGGAGTGTGAACGTGTTTATATTTTGGTTTACTTTCATAGTAGATTCACCTGTGAGCACGCCCTCAGCATTTCACCGTCATTCTCTCAGTTGACACATCCTACATCGCAGTCGGCTTTCTGCTGGCCCAGTGCGATCCCGAACTCCTGGCCCGCCGCTTCTACGCCCGGTTTGGCTCCATCACCTTGAACGATCGCGAGGCCCGCTTCTCACAGGCAAAGCTCGAGCTTTATGGCCTGTACCGTGCGCTCTGTTTGTGGAAACTCCATATCATTGGCGTCCGCAACCTAGTAGTCGAGGTAGACGCCCGTTACATCAAAGGCATGCTTGCCAACCCCGATTTAGCCCCATCAGCGTCCATTAACCGATGGATACTGGCAATTCTCACCTTTCATTTCACGCTCGTTCATGTTCCCGGCATCTCGCACCGCCCTGACGGTCTCTCCCGACGTCCTCCGCACCCAGACGACATACCAGAACCAGAAGATGACTTCGATGATTGGATTGAACAACTGCACGGCCTTATGCACATGGTCAATGGGGCACCCTATGCTCGTCGCCCTCAGCAAGTCATTGCCACTTTCACAGCCGACAGCGCACCTGCAGATATTGAGCCCCCGCCTTCTATCTCCTACGATGCCGTACCTCGCACCGAGTCTGACCGGCTTGCCGACCACCGCGTTGACCGAGTCCGCCTTTGGCTCAATACGCTTGAAAGACCCCGTGACCTATCGGACGTGGAGTATCAGTCCTTTGTCCGATACACAATGGAGTTCTACCTGAAGGAAGAAAAGCTATGGCGAAAACACCCCGATGGTCGGCACAAACTTGTAGTCCCCACGGAACGCCGCCTGCCCATCCTCCGAGCAGCACACAATGATGCCTGTCATAAAGGCTTCTATGCGACCCGCGCCCTCATTGCCGAGCGGTTCTGGTGTCCACATATGGCCCATGACATCGCTTGGTACGTTCGAACCTGCGATCTATGTCAGCAAAGACAGATACGGAAAGTCACCATACCACCGACTGTCGCAGTCCCAGCGCCGCTCTTTGCTAAGGTGTACATGGACACCATGCATCTCCCAACGAGCGGAGGTTTCCGATACATTGTGCAGGCCCGTTGTTCACTCACCCACTACCCCGAATTCCGTATGCTCCGCCGTGAAAATGCCAAGGCGCTGGCATTGTGGATCTTTGAAGACTTGCTCTGCCGATGGGGCACGCTCTGTGAAATTGTGTCAGATAATGGTACGCCGTTTGTAAAAGCCCTCACGCAGCTCGAGAAACAATACGAGATCCGACACATCCGGATATCCGGGTACAATTCCCAAGCCAACCTTGCTGAGCGACCGCATTTTGATGTCCGACAAGCGCTCTTCAAAGCCGCCGATGGAAACCAATCGAAGTGGCATAGCGCCGCATACTCTGTCTTCTGGGCACACCGTATCACCGTCCAACCACGGATGGGATGCTCGCCATACTTCGCCGTTACAGGAACCCATCCGTTTGTCCCACTCGACATCTCTGAGGCCACGTACTTGCTCCCTCCACCACGGAGCTCATTGCCCGCCGTGCTATCGCCCTGCAGAAGCGTCGATCCCACCTATCCCAGCTCCACTCCGACGTATACGGAGCCAGTCTCCGTGCAGCGGCCCGTTTCGAGCAGGAGCACGCATCCACTATGCGCGACTTCGACTTCAAGCGTGGAGATCTAGTCCTGATGAGAAATACGGCCATTGAGAAGTCGCTGAACAGGAAGATGCGAAAACGCTACCTGGGTCCCCTCGTCGTCATCTCACAAAACCGTGGCGGCGCGTACATCCTCTGCAAGCTCGACGGCTCAGTCCTGCATCGCCCTATTGCCGCGTTCCGTGTGGTTCCGTACTTTGCGCGAAAGGCCATCAACCTCCCACCCATCGAAGACCTCCTCGATATTTCGACCAAGCGCTTGCGTGAGCTAGAAGAGTCGCTGCTCGAAGACCCAGAGGACGACGAAACAGGAGACGAAGAGTTACCAGACCAGGATGATGAAAAAGATGGTTAGCGGCCCACGATCCCGATTTCAGTAGGGAGGACGCACGAAAAACTCTATCCAAGTCCATCCCGGCAGACCATAAGGCGCGAGTGAGCGGATGACCGAGGACGGTCATGATTTCAGCAGGGAGGAGATGTTGAGCATGATCAGCAGCTGTACACGAACACTGCCACCCATCATCAGCGGCCGCGGCGCATCCACCGACATCAGGATTAAGCTCATCGGCCGGAGTTTTCTGGCGATTTCTCCGCCATTTCACATTACTTACAGAATATTCCAGAGCCATCGCTTATGGTAGTATATAAGTACAGGACTGTAGATACGAGAATAAGAATATATCACCCCCTCCATAGCTCATTTCGAGGAGTCCTTGACTCTGGCCTCACATCGTTTACCTCATCGATCCAGTATTCCGCGGTCCAGACAGACGCCGCAGGAGTCCTCTCGCTCATTTCTCCACATTCCCAGCCTCACCTGAACCTTGGTTTGGACACCTCGCGTCAATACATCACTACACGGCGTACCCGGAGCAGGGCCCGCCCATTCGACATCCTGTCCTCGTTCTCCCGTTCTTGGGTCCTCGCTTAGACGTTGCCCGTGCACATCATTGTGTCGCAGTGAGCGGGCTCAATTAAATTGGAAGTGGGGATCGGAATCACTTTGATGAGTACGATTGGCGACTCGGGTCCTAATTTGTCACGTGCGACAATTTGTCCTGCGCCAAACCAGCTCTTGTCCCAGCGACACTCGGACCCGGACTCAGTCCGTCTATGTCCAGCACATGTCTCGCGTGGGTCGAGGCATCCAAAAATGGGTCAGTCGATGCTTGCGCGGTCGGACTGCGAGGCAATCCAATATAAAATGGGTGGTCCTAGTCTCGGGAAGCATCATCACCCATTCCTCTTTTTCTTTTCGTCCTCCTCATCCCACTCAACATGCCTTCTATCACGACGTTCCTTCAATTGACCGCCCTCGTTGGTGCCGCGCTCGCGCTGCCCAGCAACATGACCGTGATCGACAACGGCAAGCGCGCGTCCTGCACGGTCAACAGCGTAGCCAGCGCGCAGAACCTGAGCGGATGCACGAATGTTGTCATCGAAGGCTTCACTGTGCCTGCTGGAAACACGATCACAATTGCCGTGCGTGTCGCTGGGTCTTTTTCCTTGATCGAACTCCGTCTGACGCGCGGTTCCAGGCTGCAAAGGGTGCGACAGTCACCATGACCGGTGATGTCGTTTTCGCAAAGACGTCGAGTGCGCAGTTTCCTATTTTATGCAGCATTTGTTGGTGCTGACTCGATCGCAGCTGCTGGTCCGCTCTTTACCTTGAACACGCCTGCGATCAACTTCGTCGGAGGGAACCACAAGATTGACGGCAATGGTGCATTGTACTGGGATGGTCAGGGAACAAACGGCGGCTCCTTCAAGCCCCACCCCTTCATCAAGTGAGTACACTTGGGTATTCACTGGAGGCGTAGGACTTGATCTTACGCCTTCTTAGGGTCAAGGGCTACGGAACGTTCAAGCAGTTCACCGTCCTCAACTCGCCGGCTCAGGCCATCTCTGTCGGCACCACTGGCGGGGCGACGACCATCTCTCAAGTCACCGTCGACAACTGTGAGTGGCTGCGCTTCATCGGGTCTCTGATTATCGGGGTTGATTGGCCGGCCATCCAGCGCTCGGTGACTCCAAGGGCGGACACAACACCGACGGGTTTGACGTGAGCGCCGACAACGTCACGATCTCGTCGTGCACGGTCAAGAACCAGGACAACTGTCTCGCGCTCAACTCGGGAAACAACATCATCTTCGAGGACAACACCTGCGCGAACGGCCACGGCATCTCGATTGGCTCGATTGCTACGGGCAAGAGCGTGACAAACTTCCAGGCGCTGCGCAACACCGTCACCAACAGCTTGTATGGGATCCGCATCAAGGTTCAAGCTTCTGCCACGAATGCCAAGGTTTCTAATGTCCTCTACTCTGGGTGCGTATCGCGGCCACAGCCGTTGGTCTTGTAGCTGACCGAACGCCCAACAGCAACAAGCTCTCTGGCATCAGCTCTTACGGTGTGCTGATCACTCAGAGCTACCCCGCCAACAACGGCAAGCCTGGAACTGGCGGACCCATCTCTGGCATCAGCTTCTCTGGTTCTCCGACCACGGTCGCTGGTACCAGCAACGCATATGGACTGGTCGTTGACTGCGGTGCTTGCACTGGCACGTGGGACTTTTCCGGCCTCGACATCACCTCCGCCGGCAAGGGCCACTCGATCACCATGGATAAGGCCACGGTGCGTTCTCCTGCTCTGATGCAGCCCCCGCAAGCAATCATCTGACGCCCTTATTCAGATCTCCGGCGGCAAGTACTAATCGCTTCGTTTCCTTCCTTGTCAGGAGGTTGAGAACAACGAGCCTAATTTCCCTTTGGTTGGATCTTTCGGAGTCGCGCATTCATCAGCTGTATCCATATAATTTGTCTGTCTTGATTCCCAGAATGCCATCCTCAGTCTTAATTCATCTTTGCATTTGTCAATCTTTTGGGGCGATCAGATGCAAAACCACTCGAAATCCATGATTTGACCCCTTCGGCAGCACGTTCGACAGTGGATTCACTCACGACCGTCCATCTCTGCCCCTGGCTTACGATGCCGGAGACCACTGTTGTGCTCCGTGACCTGCCCTGAACCCTCGTATTCTTCCGTGGTTCTGTCTGACACGCGCACTTCCAGTGGCTGACCGGGTCGCACATCGAACAGCGCCGGTGGAGCTTTTCTGAAAACGCTCGAACGATCCACATCAGGAGCCGCACGCTGCCGCGGCAGAACAGAGAACGGACCCTGCGTTGATGGCGGCCAGCAAGCTCGCATTGGCCGGCTCATCGTAGCGCATCAGTGACCCAGCGTCTCCCACTGTAAAGCCAGTGCGCCAGAAAGTCAGGGTGCGCAACGCAGGCTTTTCAGAATCAGATGGGACTGTCGAGTGATTTCGGTGGGTCAGTCATTCGACGTTCTTCGTGTTTGCGCGGGGAAGCAGTGGGCTCACCAGGGGAGCCTGGTTCGAGCCGTGCCAATTCTCCAGATACTCGACTGTCAAACATGCCACGGACGCAGTGGTCAGGGCAAACAGCAGACGAGGTGACTCGCCACCGCTGCACTCACCTGGCAGATCCTCCTGCGCTATCGCTCGCGAAATCGTGGCTCTGCAGCCTCTGGGCTCCTTCTCCGCGTTCTCCGTGAGGCTTGGCCATCTGTGGCTCGTGGATGTGGCATGACCAGAAACGGGTAGATATATACTTACTTTCGAATGACAGACATCTGCACAGCCTCCCCTTTTCTGATGGGCCCCTGTTAGACACAGCACACTCACTGACTGGAGTGTGATGTGATGGACTGTCGCCCTCAATGGCTAGAAGATAGGAACGACCCCCGGGGCTAATCTTATCCTGGTTTGTGTGCAACTCACCTTGGAAGGTCGAGATCAATTCCAGTTCGAATTGCGCGTCATGTCAACATCACACTTCTGGCACTCCCAGGATAGCCGCGCTCGCTCGACGTGGGTTACAGCAATGATTAGATTCTGATAGAAACCGAGAGGCCGACTATGTAGAGATATTTAAAACATTATAAGGCGAGGATGTAATGAATGTAAGGAGCGGTCAGCCATGTGCTGTGCGTTCGAACTGGCCGCAGACGAGAACAGGGCACTTAGTAGCTGCCACCCGAGAGCTGTACTCGCGTCAGAAAACTGGTTCGTAATCGAGACCACGCAATGCAGAAGGCTGAACGTACCGTTGCTCGGTCGAGAGCGAGGGTGTGGCCCTTGCCCGCAGAGAGGATCTGGAGGCCGGAAAAGTCCCAGGTGCCGGTGCAGGCACCGCAGTCGACGACCAGCCCGTATGCGTTGCTGGTTCCAGACACCGTCGTCGGCGAGCCGGTGAAGCGGACGTCGGAGATCGGTCCACCGGTACCCGGCGTGCCGTTGTTGGCGGGGTAGCTCTGCGTGATCAAGACTCCGTACGATGTGATCCCAGTCAAAGTGTTGCTGTGGGGAAATAAGCATACGCGCTGGTTGTGCCGAACGCGACGCGCGACACGCACCCGTCGTAGAGGACGTTGGAAACGTTGGCATTGGTCGCGGAGGCCTGGACCTTGATGCGGATCCCGTACAAGCTGTTCGTCACCGTGTTGCGCAGCGCCTGGAAGTTCGTCACGCTCTTGCCCGTAGCGATCGAGCCGATCGAGATGCCGTGGCCGTTGGCGCAGGTGTTGTCCTCGAAGACGATGTTGCTCCCCGCGTTGAGCGCGAGGCAGTCGTCCTGGTTCTTGACCGTCGAGGACGAGATCGTGACGTCGTTGGCGCTCACGTCGAATCCGTCGGTGTTGTGGCCGCCCTTGGAATCACCCAGAGCTGAGCAGCAAGTCAGCACCGAGGCATAGAGTTTCCCCAAAGTCACTCACAGTTGTCGACGATGACTTGGGAGATGTTGGTTTGGCCGCCAGTGGTCCCGACAGAAATCGCTTGGGCCGGCGAGTTGAGAACGGTGAACTGCTCGAATGTGCCGTAGCCCTTGAACCTAGCGCGCGCGAATTGAGACCTCCGCGTCTCTACAGAAAAAAAGATCGATTGCACACATACTTGATGAAGGGGTGCGGCTTGAAGGTCCCGCCGTTTGTTCCTTGGCCATCCCAGTACGACGCACCGTTGCCGTCGATCGTGTGGTTTCCTCCGTTGAAGTTGATCGCGGGGGTGTTGAAGGTCAAGAGAGGACCAGCGGCTGCGATCAAGTCAGCACGACCGCACTGCACCCAACGACAAAGAAAACCGCGCACTCGTCGTCTTCGCGAAGACGACATCGCCGGCCAAGGTCACCGTCGCGCCCTGTGCAGCCTGGTACAATCGTGCGTCAGCCGAGAGGATTCGAGTCGAGATCAGGGACCAAAGCGACGCGTACAGCGATCGTGATCGTGTTACCCGCAGGCACCGTGAAGCCCTGGATGAC